AATGGGAAAAGTAGAGAAGAGAGGCAAGGGAAAAAATGGGAAAGTAAAGGTGAGAAAAGAGAAAAGAGGAATAATGAAGAGATGAGAGAATGGAAATGGAAATGGGAAAAGTAGAGAAGATAGACTGCGAGCCAAGCCCCTCTATTTCCCTTGGTCACTGTCCGTCTGTCTGTCCATGTCGATCGGTTGAGGAAGATTGGTTATGAGTCAAAATTCCCTGGGTAGGGGGCTGGGGAGGGAGGGAGAATAAAGAAGAGAGACGAGGGTAATAAAAGAGGAAACAGAGAGAGATAATGAAGAGACAAATGGAAGGAAAAAGAGAGAGAGAAAGAGAGAGAGAGAGGGGGGAGGGGGGGAAGAGAAGAAGAGCAGAAAGAAGAAGATAGATATTTAACTCACTGCTTTAAGGTTTGTCTTCTGGAACTTGTCAAAAGCATCTGCTGGTAATGAACCTAATTCTCGAATCTTTTTCATGCAATCATCTTTCTACAAAGCAAAATGCGGATAAAACATTAGTGAGTAAAAAAAAAAAAAATGTACCAACCTCCAGGTAAGAATGAATGATAATCGACAGAAACACTGACGTTCTAATCTGGTTGATCTCTACCGTGAAGTCATTTATGGGGCCTCTAGAAGGGTATCCACTTAAAGAGAGAGACCAGAGCGATGAGATATAAAAATTTTACCCCTACTGGAGTCCATCACACCACAAATGAACCCATACAAACAAGCGCTTACTATTTATCCCAAAATATTTAGCATCCCAACTTACCTTTTTCATCAAAAGACTTCGTTTATTTGCAATCTTCTCTAATGCCTTAGCATCATCTTGTATTGCTTCTAGACGAGCACGCTCTACATTCTATAAAAAAATTAAAAAAAAAATTAATAGTTTTCCTTCTACGTGGAGACACAAAGACAGGGCAGAAAAACGGTTTTTGGCCTTTCACCATAAGGGCAGCTTTATTTATTTTTAAAGGCTCAATATTTTGTATACACGTTCTTTTGGAGCCAAATAGCAAAATRTCAAATGCGACCAAAATTAATTTTATTGAATGCCTATTTGAGATAAAAAGCCATGTAGTAGATTTACTCTAATTTGACAAAATTTCGTCACAAGTTTYGAGCAGCAGTGACACAAATGAAACGCTTAAAAATTTGGAGTATCAAACTCAGTTAAATAAAAAAATCGTGAAAGTAGAGGGCTTTGTGTTTTTCTGCCCTGTCACACACAAAAGCTATTGCACCAAACAGTGGAATGCTTGTGCGTAAAGTTCTATACAACATTGCCAAAGAATAGTTGTGTTTTAAGGTTCAATTTTCGTTTGAAAGAAAGACTTCCCATGCAAGACCTATAATCTCTATCAGTTTTTGTAAAWGATCCCTCACAAGATTGGTTTTGTTGAACTGTTTGCATTGATGTTATTGTGAAATCAAGTTCAAATGCCATATTAATAAAGGAAGTCATTTATACCTTCCATTCTTCTAGCTTAGACTGTGCTTTAGTTTTCTTTTCTCTGTGGTCATCAGATTCTGCCTCCAGTTCTAGCAGGAAACACAGATATATTAGTACATCAACAGATAGCCTACTATTACAGGTACCCTACCTGGTTAACACAGGTGAGAATGATATAATAAGAAAGACATTTCAATTATTTTATTTATTATAATGAATGATGATGATCGTTTTGAAGACATTAGGATGATGATGATGATGATGATGATGGTGACCAGTGGTGGTGGTGATGGCGATAATATTTAAACAGGACGGGGAAGCTCTTTGGTCAAATCTTGACATACTTGACAACAGTATAAATGAGAATGGTGTTTTTGATGATGATG